AGACAATGTACACTGTACTTTCCAACTCGAAGCAAGGGATACGTTGATGGTCCTCTTCATTTCGGACATTTTTAAGCCGATGCACGTGATGTCTGTTTTCTATCTCGAAGGAGTAGGTACCCTGGCAATAAATTAACGGGCTACGGCGCCTTGGAGAAACTGCGCGACGGTCCTTTCCTTCCACTTCTGCAAAGCACGTGTTATCCTAGAACCGTTGGTTTCTTTCTACCTAAATCTTGTCATGGTGGGAGTGAACTCACAATGTAACGATGGGAAACTACTTGGGGGTAGAGGAAAAATTCTGTCAGTCGGTTAGCAATCGGGCGACAGAGATGTTCAGTTCACGGGAGTATTACGCAATGTTATGGTGGTACGTACACAATAACGGATATGCGGGTGTTGCTGTGCAAGTGTTTGGTTACGTAAAACATCTGAAAAATTGAAAACAATCGGCCCTTTCCGGGGCCACGAATTTTCCTAACGTAGTAACAACACGTTGGATTAAAAATACATTAAGTGATTGTGTCGGGTGATCAGTGTTAGTGGTCGTGCAGTGAAGTGAGTACGTATTCTGTGGAATAACCAGGACTCACTTGACGTTACAACCCTTAACTTCGGCTGGTGAGGTATACCTGCGATCACCTGCAAACTGGGCGATACCCTGCCATAAACCGTTTCGACCGTCGATGACCAGCATCGGTTCAGTGACCTAGGGACACAGGTTTGCAAACTTCAGGTGAATTTCCGAAAGGGTGAGTTCTAATCAATTTATTGCTGATTATTATTTTCTTAATTTAACGCAAGCTATGGCTTATTTCCGGCGATAATTCTGCAAGTTTCTGTACCTAACTTTTTCTTCGGGCTTTTTGAAGAAACTTATTCATTATCAGTAACATTGTTGACTGTTATTAAACTACGAATGTTTATAACAATACCGAATTACGATCACTTCTCGTTCATTCTCTGTTACATTACCTTTTCGTTCACACGTTATTTGCAAAGGAAATTTACAAATTCGTAACAAGGAATTTACAAACAAGTAAATGTGCATTCGTCTTTTTACGTTACACATAATTTGCCTACATTTACGTTTCATTCATTAATCTCTTTAAATAACAAACGGCAGATGATAAAAAGTATGATTGTATTTGTTACGTCTTTTTTATTTGCTATTATACGCAGTTTCCTGCGATGCATGCTGACCTACTTGTTTGGAGCTTCGTAGTACAAGTGTAGCGCGTAGCCACCGCTAGCGCGGGAACTCGGCTGGCAAACTCGCGCTCTGATTGGTCGCGGTTTCTCGTTTATATCTCGGTAACGAAGCCTCAGATTACATTGTTGCGAAGGAAAAAGTTGTTCCAATTCACCCCCCGAGTGCCCCATCTCCGGGTCGGAGAACATTTTTCGGACACCCTGTATACGTAAGGTAAACCAACCAGTGAATGACCGAATTGTTGAATTTCTGGACGTTTAAGATTAATATTTGAATGTATTTATTTATAACAACAAAACAGCTGTTGAAATTGCAATTGCATTTATTTTTCTTGAAATTTTTTTTAAAATAATTACATATCCATAACGTAATTTTTTTTAAATTATTCATAAAGTGCAAAACGTGTAAAACCCCAGTAAATGACTACTACATTTCTGAAATATTTTTAATAAGAATTGTACTTACTAATGTTTGCTTAGTACGCTAAACTAAAAATATGGGATATTAGAAGTGCAACAACCCTTCATTTATAAACATTTAATAATTTTTACATTTATAATTTACATTTCTTGCCTAATGGTCATTCACTGGTATGCAGTCAATTACTGGTTGGTTTACCCTACCTCATACTGGGATTGCTCGCCGCGAGGCAGATATACATTTCGCAAAGCACACCTCACAAGGCAACCGCGCAAGCCAGCCTCACAGTGTCTGTACGTAACTTGACGTTGCACAGCTTCTGTAGACTTTTTCTGTCATTTATGTTTTTTTTTATAACATATTTTATAGTCGATGGATTTGTCACGATTCGTTCTAATGAAAAATCTTTTTAAAAATGCTATAGTTATATTTAAAAAAAGGTAACTTCCACACCCCCGAAAAAAGTGCAGACGAAAAACTTGGACTCACGACTGTTTAGCTCTTGTTCAACACAATTTTTGTAAAGTCTAAGTATGTCCTGAAATTTTGTGAAATACCCTATATACAGGGTGAGGCATTTAAAACCGGGCACCTGAATAACTTGGCTGCTATTGGTGATAGGAAAAAATGCATCAGGCCAAAATTATTTGGTATCGAGGGGCTGATCATCCGATGTTACTAGTTTTTTTATAGGTGGAGGCGTCAAGGAGATATGAAGGTCATCTATGTTTTTCTAAATGGAACGGTATATTTTTTTACTTATATTCTGATAAAGTATTTCAAGACGAATACAATGACCTACTGGAAAGGTCATTCGTAGCCTGGGTTAAGCCAATTGTGCTAGAAACTAATTTACTTTGAGGAAATGATCAAGCACCGTTGATTTATTTATCTAACAGTAATACACGACTAATACAAGTGTTCAAAATGGTGACCTTGAACATTGATGCATGCTCTGAAGCGTTGCTTGACGGATAATACGGCATGTTCAATTTCAGTTGTGTTAATCGCGGCACAAACTCTTCTTATACGCTCTTTCATATCTTTTAGTGCCGCACCCTGTATAGTTAATAAAAATGTAGGACTCTTTCATAGGGTGGATTCTACATAAAAGAATAAAAAAAACATGAAGAATGACGAAATTGCATCGAGGCTTCGTTTCAGAGTTATTAATTGTTGGAAATGAGGGAAAAGTACGCGTGAAATACGTCTGGCGCGATGGATTATACTACTTACAACAAATGATTCCCTGCTTATACACACTACCGATCGATGCCCTGCTTAAAAGTCTGAATGAAATTAAATACATAAAGTAAATGTCATTGCTCAAACATTTTACCTACAATTGATCAAAATTTGGTTAAAATTGTTAAAATAATTTTCTAAAATATTGAGTAAAGTAACGAATGAACATATCTCTACTAATGCAAAAGATGAAAAAGAAATATTATATCTATAAATACATTTTTTTAAATAATCATAGAACATATTCAAATTACTTCGCTGAATATAAAAAATCAAGCCGTATTAACTTCAGATTTATTGATACAAATTTGTTAAATAATGTCCTTAATATTTATACGAAGTGTTTTATAAAATTCGTATGTTAATTGTGAAAAAATAATTTTATAATAATGTTCATTAAAACATTATCAAAACCCTGAGACTATCTCAACCTAGTGTTATTTTGTTCGCTGAAGGACATTTAAATTATTCTTACTTGTTTCAGATAAATTTTGAAAAATATATCACACCATAATATAATCCTTGTGACCGTAAATTGTGTAATATTTTCGTGTCGGTATTTGAGTGAAAAATATCAGTATCATGCAAAAACAGTTACGCAACATGCCCAAATTATATTCAAATCCATGTTTCATGAATGTATTTGAAGTTGGTAAATGAACCTTTTCCATATGTCTGGTAATAAATATAAAATATTTTAATTACATTCCGATATAATCTATCATATGTATACAAATATATAAAGTTACAGAAGATAAGGAATTAAGTATAACTTAATTCGGTATAAAATATAATAAATTGAAATTTGGATATTTGTATCTTTATTTCCATGTAACATTGTTATAAATAAACATACATGTTTTAAAGAATTTCTGTAAATGACAGAAGTCATAACTTAATTTGAGATACAAACTTTAAGACGAATTAGTAAAATATTTGTTTATTATTAAACAAATTCTGTCCTACCAATACTTTGTAAACATTACATAATAATTATATAAATGTCTATGTAATTTTCAGCTATCTTAACGAAATTTGATAGATTATTCGGTAAAGTGTGAATTGTTATGCATTAATGGCAAGCCGTATTAAAACATGTGAAACTTGACGAATTAAAAATTTTAAAGATGAATCATGAATTATATTTAGAGTTTTTAATTTGTGGCCCTTAATAGATGAACTAAGTTTCTTCCTGTTCACACAAAATGAAATATATTTCATTATTATTATGGAATAAAATTCAATATATACAAAATTAAATTCTGTTTTCTGCACACAACAAAATTTCATTTTGTATATACTGAATTTTATATAACTTTTTAAATGTGTACAAAGTTGAACATTTGAAGTTGTATTAGACATCCATATGATATAGGTTAATTAAAATCCACACATTTGGGAAGTAATATAAAAAAGGATAATTTCACGGATACAAATACAAAACCTGTATTACCTACGTATTCTGGTTCAAACAGTAAAAAATACGAAGATAATAAAGACGAAATTGTGAATACTTATAAGCAGAAGTTTATACTATATTGACTAGAAGAAAGAATATCGTGTTTAGAAGTTGAAACTACATTTTAAAATTGTCTGCCACATGATTCCCTTTAAGCAAATTTAAACAACCGACAATTTAGTATTATAGTCCTAAAGTGCCTACATGTTTCTAACATACACTACCGCTTATATTATTTCTCCACCCATATTAGATTCGGTTTACTAAAAAAATGTGCGAAATTAAAAAAAAACTAGTTCCCTTCACAATACATGGCATAAAGTAAGCAATATCTATGATTTCTTATTGGAAATTCCTCAAATGACATGTAAAATGTAAACCTCGAGAGTAAACGTTTTTTCGATGACAGGGCAAATATTTATGAGTGACAAAGTAATTGCAATCAATTTACGAATCACCAGTACACAACTGAAGACGTAAAGCACAGATAAGCAGAGTTTAATTAACATCTGTTAAAATTCTATACAGATTTCTGTATAACAAGTCCCTCGTTAAAGCAAGGTATTAAGTTCGACCAATGTACACTCGATGCATCACTTGTCAATTCTACCGAGAGTACGATGAAACTCGGACGGGAATGTTTACTGCAAATCTTTAACGTACCTCGCACTTGGTAATTCTCGCGAGGAATGCCATGATTTCAAAACACGTTCGTGGCTGTCTGTAGTGGAACTGACCGATGCAATGAAAAAATGGCCTTGTGTAAAGCTGAATATACAAATCAACGTTTTCAATTTGAGTAATAGCACCTGTTTACAACGTCTTACGTGATCGATGTTTTCGGGACTGTTTTTATGTGAATTCTCACTCGAAGACCTCTGAAACAGCCCTGAAAGTGGCCGAATGTTTACACTGTTAGCGATTCAAAGTTTGCTGCACTGAGAATTTGATAAAATGATCAACATTTAATTGCGCGTCATAATTTCAGTTTAATGTCAAACGCCGAGAACTGTATGTTTTCTCAATGTTAAATGTTACGTGAGAAATAAAATATATATTTATTGTTATATAACATTGAATATGTACAATTACGAACATGTGGTAACCGATGATTACGTCGATAAGGAAGAAAGTTTGAAGGGAGATTATCGAAAGATAAAGACAGTCGATAATACAGACGAGATATAATAGAAGATCGTTTACAGTAAGCATTCGTTTATTGTATTTTTTGAGGCTATAGAAGGTCAAATTTCCAGAAATGATGCAACAAACTGGGATCAATAACACGCACGGTCTTCCCGTCGATTGTCCGTTCACTTGTTTCACGTAACTAAATAATGGGTAGGTTGGATAGACGCACTTTTTGATCGCTTTATTTTTAGAAATATCATAAAAGTTTATTCACGGAAGTTATTGAGTAGTGAAAAATTTTATTAAAACAATATTGTATAGACTGCCCTTTCTGTGATGAAAAATATGCGAGTTGAACGCGACACCATATGTATCGCGTCCCTTCTTTGCTAGGCGACAGAGTGGGATGCGCCCATGGGTGTGAGAAATACGTGTGAAAGAGGGGTGTTCCCAAGATGCAATAAAGTAGCGACCTACATTGAACGAATATCTACTGTATTAAAAACGTCCCTTGCTAACACCTATTTCTCACACACGAGCTATTCCACGTCAAAACGCATAAAATTACGGTCATAATCACCGATATCTGTCAAATTTGCAACATTTATTGAATTCGTTTAACTACAAGTTTTAATTCTCCTCCGATTTACCAACGAGGTATGTACCATATTTTGAAAATTCACATTTTATAGAGAACGGACTAACAAATGTGACAACATTTGAAATTTGGAGAGTGACCACTTACAAACTCATAGATTGGAAATACACATCCAATAATGCGTATTTTTGCGGAGAACAGACTGCAGCAGCGAACCCACTGACAAGGAAAGGCACGGAAGTGTGCCCCTCCGATTTTGATGAAACTTCGTATGTCTGTTAAGCAGTCAAAAATAAGGGATAAGTATTTTTTTTATCAGCTGAGACGCGAAAGACGGGGTGAAACCACCCCTCGAAGTTTCGACCCGAAAGTACTATCTCGAAAACATACATGAAAGGAAAACATACATGGAGATATATGAAAACTTCTAATCGACGAGGTTTGCGGTTTTGTATGTAAAATAATATGGTGCTAACAAAATGTCTAATATATATTTTGTTTATAATAAAAAAATTTGTTACAACTTTATTTTACAATTTATTCAAGTTTACATAATAAGAAAAAGTAACGAGAATTTTATTCCTAATCCATTGATATATCTGTTTTTCAAATTGCCTCCTACAGTTTCGCAGATTTTTATGCTTTATGTACCCTGCCGTGCTTTTGGGTCACCTTGCAATACTAAATCGAGTGAAACCACTTTCTCCTTAGCGAAAATGTTATCTGCGGTTTTGTTAACGAGATATTAACGAAAAACCCCGACCAATCAGAGCGCGAGTTTGCCAGCCGAGTTCCCGCGCTAGCGGTGGCTACGCGCTACGCTTGTACTATGGAGTTCCGAACAAGCAAGTCGGCCTGCATACCAGGAAACCGCGTATAATAGCAAATAAGAAAAACATAACAAATCGAACTTTTTATCATCTTTCGTTTGTCGTCATTTTAAAGTGATGAATGAATGAAACATAAATGTAAGAAAATCATATGTAACGTAAAAATACGAATACACAATTATTTTTTTAAACAGAATCTTTAGGAAGCCCAAAGGAAAATGTAGGTACGGAAACTTGCTGAAATATTGCTGGGAAAAAGTCATATATAACTTGCGTTAAATTAAAAAAGTAATAATCAACAATAAATTGAATATAACTCACCCTTTCAGAAATTCACCAGCAGCTTGCAGACCTGTGTCAGTAGGTCACTGTACCGATCCTGATCATTGACGACCGAAACGGTTTATGGCAAGCTATCGCCAGGTTTTCAGATGATCGCAGGTATACCTCACTAGCCGAAGTTAAGGGTTGTATCGTCAAGTGCGTCCGGTCACCACTTCAAGCATCTCCTGTAATGTAAGAAAGTTTATTTTACTACCACATTTGACCTTGCATGACTTTCAATAATAACTCGCTGAAGTCGTCTCAACGCCGGCTATCACATCGCGATAAAAAGAACATAGCATTCCATTAAAAAAAATGGAGATGACCTTGAAATCTCCTCTATGCCTTCACCCACGCAGAAAATGTTTGTTGCAATATTCAAAGTGGACATAGTTATTCAAAGTGGACATAGTTATTGCCCAACCCTGTATAGTTATAGAATTGTATAATTTTTAATAACTGTAAATTGCCGTGAAAGTTTAAAAAAGAGCCGATGTGCGTACTTTCTATGCACTATTTTTGCATTTTTACGAAAAGTTTTTTGCCTACCACGAATTTGGTACATAGTATCGGATTATGTAAACATTTCTGAGGAAGAAACCATCCAAACAACGTTTTGGAACAGTTTTTAATTCGAACAGGTCGGGAAAATATCCGTTGACAACATGTGCGCGGTGTTTTGCCGCCACGGGACCATTGCTCGCTTACCTCGATTCTTGCGTGTCGTAGCTACGCGTAATCAACAGCGATAGTATCTTCCAATGAGCACTCCCTTGTCGTATGTACAAATATTTGATTTTTTTCATGTATTCTTGGATACTAATTCCACAATTGTAATGAACTTTTCCCGATCACTTTCAGTTTCAAATTAATTCAATGTTCGATGCATGTATTATACGTATGACTTATTAATAAGAAACCGTTCAAAATCACACTCAATTGTTATTGAGTTTACAGGATGTTTATTACTACGATTTCACAAGATTCCGAACACTTTCTCAAATATGGAAATATGGAAAACACATTAAACAATATGCTAGGGAGGGACGTCTAGTATTGTTTAGATTTCCAGAGCGCGTGCGATAAAACTCTTCTCGGCCGTCTCTAAACCTCAGAAAATTATATTACTTTTTTATCTCGAACTGTCTCACAGTGGTACAAAACGCCGATTTAGGAGTTCAGATGCTTAATTTGAGTGTAAAAATGGGAATTTCAAAACCAAACTTGGTAAGCATGTATTTAATATTCATATTTATTAAAAAAAAAAATACAAAATTAATAAATAATATTTTTTAATAATAATTTTATTAATGAACATATTATAAACTCGGATTATTAATTATTACCGGTTTCGGCAGTACACCCGGTATTTACCGTTCAAAGTCGTTATTCGATTATGATTCCTCGTACAAGGGCGACGAAGAGAAAACATCGAGGAATTGTTGTTCTTCTCTGACTTTGAACAATAGAGACTGACAAGTAAATATTCACTTTTAGGGAATCGAGTTGCCCGATTTGGAATATATTTTTTCAAAGTACTCATCGTAACTAAGAAATCATAAAAATTATATCTGCAACGGACCCATTTTACTCATATTATTGGGGCGCAATCGAAAAACGGGAAAATCCTCTTTTTTAAAATTAATTGGCTGAAACTTGGCATCGGTATGTTTTTTGGAGTGCTGAATCTGAATATGACGTTATTTTTTGTATACAAAAAATAATATTTCCTAAGGTAGTTCTCATAATAAAAAATCGGTTTTTTGGACATAACTGAAGAAGGAAATGCCTTAGATTTTTAGAAAAATTTTTTTCAGATCCCACGCACCAATTTAGTTCGAAATCCATGCTTTTTAATAGATTTTTGGTAACCGCTGTTTTTTTACTCCCAGGGGCCATATCTTGGCCCCTAGAGCAAGATACCAAAAAGAAATTTTTTCTACATAAACGGCACAAAAGACACTCCGGGAGACCAAGAGGAAAATTTCTCGAAATTTTCTTCACCGAATCGCTGACAGTTCAAAATTTCATGAAGATCGGTCCAATAGTTTTTGCTGTAGCCCTGCCAACAGACGAGGAGAAGAAGGAGAAGGGAACCGATCTCGCTCGTGGCATAAGGAGAGCGGAAAGGAGGACCTGGAGGCGGCAGCGTGCTGCTGCTTCTCCGGGGGCCCTTCCTCTCCCGGCAGAGGGGATCGGTACAGGTGACCCTAGGGCCCTATAGCACGTACGCCCCCCCCCCCTCACTGAACGGCGGTGATATCTCACCGTAGTGAGGTGGTTGCCCCGCATGACACTGAGGGTGTCACTCATGTCGCGGCCAGTCCAGAGGACCCCTCGACACAGTCGGTTGGAGGAAAATGAACGGTTAAACCCGTCCTTGCGGGGGCGTAGACCCCCTTGCAACGAGGTGTGCTCTTACCCCTTCTGGGGAGGCGCATGGGCGGGGTCGGCTGCGGAAGCGTGCTGTATAGCGATGCTTACAGTCGGCCCGACGTCCGAGTGGGTTACCGGGGAGTTTTAGTGAGGTAAAAATCCCACACAGGCCATTCCCCCCCCCCCCCCCCGGAGGCGGTAAGCCTTCTGAAGGTTTCTCCCCGATAAAAAAAAAAGGACCTTGGGGTCGCTAACACCCATACCACAGCCGGCCGAAACCGACTGCAGCCCTTGAGGGACGTTGCAGGATCAGTGCCGGGTTGACACGGTAACTTTTTTGGAGGTCTTCCAACCACTCTAGGAAATGAGCGGCCCCAAGCCGCCGTCGTAATGACCGTCCCATCGGCGGATCCGCTCCATAATACGATCGTATAGGGGGTCATCCACGATTTCTTTTTGTCGAGGAGAAAGCTTCAAAAGGCGGACCGCCTCCGCTGGGGGTGCGGAGACGGCCTGTGTGGGATTCTTGCCCACTAAAACTCCTCGATGACTCACTCGGACGACAGGCCGGCCGCGGGAACCGTAGTTCTTGACTTCCACAGCCGACCACGCCCATGCTGTTCCCCAGAAAGGGGAAGAACAAGCCCCCCAGGGACAGATTCTAACCGATCCTCCGCCTCCACCGACAGCGTCGAGGGGTCACCCCCTCAGCTCTATCGCTCTACGGGATGGGGTCATCCCCGTACACTAAACCGGCGGGTGGTGGGATTGCTGTCCAATTGGATGGCTTGGCCGTCAGTTGGTAGCTTCCCCCTTGCGTGGCTGGTCCGTGGAATCCCCTGGAATTGACATCGGGGTCGAGGAGGAGCTATTTTGCCCTACTCTGCCTGCTGGACCAAACAAAAAGTTCTGCGTGGGGCGTATGCGACCCATGTGGCACGGAATGTGTTAAAGGAATTAATATGTGTCCTCTGCATCTGCATTTTCACTGCGCCTTTTCGAACGAACTGCAGAAGAGTTTTCAGATAGAAAAAGAACAGCGAGTGAAAAAGAAAAAGGGATTGAGCCGAAAACATAAGTTAATATTTCTGCGGCATCTCAGTCTGACCGTTTCCATACAATGTCATAAACCTCTGTAACGTTCCGACTTACACGACAGCACCATTGAGGAGAATTAATACTGCTGCGAATTAGTAACACAACTAGTTCTTCTTCTCCTACAAGATCAACAGGAAACACGAAGACCAAAGTGTTATCACCTCTGAGGAATAGCTGATACACAAACGACGGGGAAACATAGTACCCCACTATAGGATTCCAAGATTAAACCGATAACTGTGATGAAAATAATTTCAATTAAAATTTTAATTATATCGAAATTCTTAATTAATTCTCATTAAAAAATAAAACAAATATTAATTGACGATTAATATTTTTTAGTCAACAATTAACGACTTACTTCATGACTTGGCTGAATTAATCCCGAATATGTGACGAGTAATTTTTTAATCGTAAGAATCAATCAATCAATCAAACTAAAAATTTTTAATGATTGATGCCCAACTCTGCTGCACGAGCACCAACCCCTCCTCTTTATCAATTTCACTAACTTCCGTCGCAACAATAAACCAAATATTAAGTAGGAATAAATAGTAAATGATTATTCTTTGTAAAAAACATATATTGTATATGACTTTTATCTAGGAGCGCACAGGATACATTCGCGCAAGATATCCATTACTTTTATAAACTATAAATTATATTAATAAAAACATACAGTTGTAAAAAAAGTATTATCCTATATAACATACGCATCATTAAAGAGAGGAATATAGTTACCCAAGTAACGATTTCTTTAGTAATACAATAACAGTTAATTGTGGATAAAGTGCCAGCTGTTTCATAGCTTTTTTTTGGAATTATTTTAACAGAGTATATTATTATTGTCCACAACAGTAGAACACCATTAAAATAGTTATATATAAAATATGATAAATATTTACATTCTGTTCTCTGGGTATGCATGGACGGATAGGTATGCTTTCTTGCAAAAGTTTCTTTTTATCCCCTCAAATACAGCACGGAATTTTGCTTTTCTGCTTCTGTAGCTGATTTACGCTAAATATCTAATTGTGTCTAATGAATTTCAAAATATGTTTCTATATTGAGAAACATGAACACTGTATAATTTCACCTGTTCTAAGAATGTAGCCATCATAATATACATATATGATAGTTAAAATGCAAGTTGCATATTACTCTAAATAAGTTTGTGTTAAGCATATATATAAACTAATGTTTTTGTGCGAACTATATTGGAAATACATACAAACATGTCTATAAAACAATGTTCTATCAGACCTTCTTGGTTTTGTTTTACATTTTATAATATTATGTTTTGTTTAATAATCGTGTTGTACTAACCAATTTTATTTTGACATATGAAAATAGAAATAAATAAAAAAATTTTTATTTTACAAATCGCAGCTTTAACGTAACTTCTGTCAAACGTTAAAATTTCATACGTTTGCTTCACTTGCAAACACTGCAACAAAATTGTTATCGGACACGGCATATATAATAGATCGTACATACAAGGTTTAACAAAACTATATTAAAATACAATTTTTGTTTACGTATAAAATAATTACTTAGCTGCCTTCATAAAAATTTGTTGCTATATATTCGTTGAATGTACATACATAATATAAAAAGTGCCCATGCACTATACGTATTCATAAATGAGTAATAGTAATAACAATGATATACCAGAAGCAGCATTCAAGATTTTGTTACTACCACTACTTCTGAAAGCTGTTGCATCACCCATTTGGAATGTATAAGTTGGGCTTGACATGCGTCCATCGCCACCATTGCTATATGCAAGTACACGCAAATGATACGCCTTACCAGGACTAAGATTAATAATATCGGCTTCTAATTTTGAACCGCCTCGTATAATAGTATCATTTGCAGTACTCATATCTTGATCTAATTCCCAAACACGTATTTTGTATCCTATTAGTGGTTCCTCTTCTAAACTTGGTTGTACGTAACGCCAAACAACTCTAACTGTCGAAGGATTGACACCATATACATTAACAGAAGATGGTGCTTTTTGTGGTGCCTTCCGATATGTCCTTTCTAAATATCGTTCGCTCTCAGGACCCTCTCCAGCAGAATTATATGCCATTACTTTGACATAATAGTATGTGTCAGGTTGCAAACCAACTACAAGAGCCCAAGGCCTTGTACTTCGAGATAAGTAATATACTGCATCTTCTTCTCGATTGTTTTCTTTCCAGTACTTTATCCTGTGACCTATTAATTTCCCCCGTATTTTTTCCCGAGTTTTTTCAATTGATGCCCAACTAACATTTAAACTGGTACTGTTATAACTACGCGCAACAACTTGTTGTGGAGCTACCTGTGGCATGTCTTCTGCACTAAATATTGTAACTGCATCAGAAACTAGTCCAAAGCCTAATGCATTAGCTGCTTGGACTTTGACTTCGTATTCTGTATAATAGAATTGTTGTGGAATTTGTATAACACTTCTACCAACATTACCATAATCCTTCAAGGATAATGACTGAAACTCTGTTTCATGATATTTTCTACGCCAAAAGATTTTGTAGTAAACTCCTGGACCATTTTGATCTGAGGGTGGTAAAGGATCCCATTTAATGGTAAGGTCTCCAATTTTCCCCCCTCCACCACCTATATTAGATGGAACTTTAGTTGGTTTATCTGATGGAGTGCTATATTGCGGCGAAGGTGAAGAAAATAAGCTGTATCCTAATTCATTATAAGCAGATACAGCAAACGAGTAAGTGGTATAAGGATTTAAAATATTCTCTAAATATGCTTCTTTCCTGCCATTATATCTATCTACTTCCACAGCAGTAATATCTGAAACAATATGCACGTCAAGAGGCTGTTTACCACAGAATGTATAAGAAACAAATTATGGATTTTTTTACATACTTTCTATGATATTAGACCATGTATGGTTCCAATTGGTTCTTGCGCTTACTGTATACATAGTAATGGGTTTACCATTCAAAGCACCATCTGTCCAACGTAATGTTGTGGAAGTTTTTACAATATTTACAACTTGTACACCTCCAGGTGGTCCTGGCGGTCCTTGTACTGTAATTATTGTTTTGCTAGAAATTTTCCCCACAGCACTTTTAATTATACATTCATACTCTCCAGCTTCTGCGAACGTAGCATTTATTATATTAAGTTCTTCGCCATCAATATGCAATCTTGGATTATTCAATAAATCTTCATCTCTGATAAGTAAACCATTGTGCTTCCAAATATAAGCAACATCTAGGATTTCATCTATTTCTCCCATACAACGCAAAGTTTGATTTTGCATTACTGCAATAGTTATGTGTTGTGGTAATCGCTCCAGAAATTGTGGCCCATCTTTATAGAAAATCAATATTTTACGTGTAAATGAATAAAATCAATATCAGATATATATATACGCACGAACGCACGCACGTACGTATACAGGGTGTTCGCGCGAACACTGAACAGTTCGTTATTTTTTAAACTATTTAAAATACGAGAAAACTGTTTACATAAATAGTTTTCGAGATATTGCGCTTATAAACTTACTGATTTCTGCAGGTGGTCTTGTTAGCGCTCTAAGTGCCACGTAAATCAGTAAATTTGTAAGCGCAATATTTCAAAAACTATTTGAAAAAGGGTGTATACATTACTGAATTCGACTTGAGATGCACTATCAAGTGATCTGACAAAAAATACATAATTCCATTTAAAAAACCAAACTTGACCTTTACATCTCAAAATAATAATGTTAAAAAAAATTCATCGTATCCCGTTAATTAGCCCCCTCGTACCATTCAATGTTATGTAAACAGTTTTCTCGTATTTCAAATAATTTAGAAAATAACGGACTGTACAATGTTCGCACGAATACCCTGTATATATAATTATAAAAGTATAGACTTTACGTAAAACTATCAGTCGCCCACGAGTTTCATCACTTCCATACTGGTTCGTTGCAGTACACGCGTATGTGCCTTCGTCATCTCTAGAAACTGGGCTTATAATAAGACTACCAGTTTCTAAAATTTTTCGTCTACCACCAGAGCCAATCACATTTCCATCTTTTTTCCAGACAAATTTCGGCCTGGGTGCAGCTTCAGGATTACAAAAAATTGTAACATTGCCTTTTTCTGCTGCATATGTCTCAGGTTCCAAAGGTCGCTTTTTAAAGGATGGTTTTAATGCTATAATTCAAGAAAAAGTTCAAATAAAGCGGTCAAGTATTATACATAATTTAAGGGTGTCTATGTTGGTAATATCACAATTGTGCTAGTTAATTGAAAGAAAAACATAAAGCATTAAATACAGTAAATCGTAGATGAGTGTTCGAAGGCTCCTCGGCACTGAGATAGTCATGTTCACATTCAGACGTCATGCCCCCCTGTCACCACTAGGGGTTCCCCCGTCGAACCGCGTTAGGCCCAGTGGTAGGGATGACGTCTGAACACTCACAAAGGAAGGGCCCGAACTGCCGACTTCGATTTTAACGGGGTTTTTAATACGATGATAGTATACAGGTTTCTAATGATACATGTGAAATATTAGATGTAAACACTGGATAATTTTAAAGATATAAACCATTAATGTTACGTACTTTTAAGATGTACTGTGAAATATAAGTCAAACTTAACGAAGTACAGTAGAAGCTCGTTTATTACAGACTATTTTATTGCAGCATAGGAACGCCCTTCGTTTACACGAACAGAATACATACGATGTCGCGTTTAACTTGCATATTTTTCGTCACGAAAATTATGGTATATGTAATATTGTTTTAATATTATGTTTCAATATTGAATAACTTCCGTGAATAAACTTTTTTGATATCTCTAAAAATAACGTAGATAATAATGATGGTAACTGTGATCGAACAGTGCGCACATCCATCCCACCCTATATATAGCTACGTCAAACAACTAAACGGGCAATTAGCGGGGAGAGCGCGTGGGCGATTGGAGCTCGTTTAAGCCCCGAAGGCTGAACAAAAAATGAGCTTCTACTCAATTTTACTGTACAAGGTTGTTGGGTTGGTAAATCGGAAGTCCTGGAGTCAATTCTCCATTTCACCGAAATATTTTTGTTTTACTTTGCTAACGCAACTTTGATAACAGTGACTTATATTCATAATATATCTTGAAGGTTTAATATATTAAGTCAGACAGTTAGAGTCTCCTTATCAGTCCCGAGGAGCTTTCAAACACTCATCTATGATTTACTGTATTAGAAATAAACACTGGTAAATTGTTCATATTTTGAAGAAGATGGGTGTTGTAAACTGAGTATCATTAAAACTAGTAACATTTTCCATATTACATGTAAATATATCTATATATTTGTGTGGGACTGGAATCCCTGGACCCATTAAGAAAACTTAGGTACATCCGAATAAATTACTAAACTTGCACAGTATGATTAACTTTTAAATTGTGTTGCATGAAAAATTGATATATTTAGTTCAAAATTATAGTAATTCAAATCAGCTGATGTTTAGTCTTATTTTTATCTGAAAGATTTCGCCAATTATATGTAAATGTTCTCATAAACATTTTTTAAAGTCTACAAAATGTAACCTTCATTTCTAGTAGTTTTTGATTTCTATTGTTCTTAGTGAGGTGCTCACTTTCGAGTTTTCAATTCAAGATCAAGGTAGCAAAAACCTCCTGATCGAAAATGCATATATAATTCATGCCTGTACCACAAGTCTATACAGATATTTCATAGTACTTCACGAATATGTAATAAAAAGTGTAATTCAATTATTTCATAACCGGATATGTCACACCACACATTAATGCTCTACTGTCATTGATGACAAACTTCTTTTATGCAACAGACATTCCTTGTGTCCACAAATACTTTGTAGCAAATAGTTTTAGTTCTTGTTCCATTTTGACAGTGTGCATTATAAATTAAGAACTAATTTATTTTTTTGAATTGCTGACATGATAGATGATCATGTTAAAGTAAAATTATTTGTGTTTTTACAGGTTCTCAAGTGCGTACAGTTGTACCATCAGTGTTACTGAATGTTTGGATCTCTTTGAATTTTTAACTTGATACCCTACATACTAAATTTTCAGAAACACAGACAAATGTTATGTAAGGTAATTGTTAAATTTACGGCCAATAAAGATTAATAGATGTTTACCCACAATTCAGTCTTTTTTCTAATTTTAATGCAAAAATATATATTTCATTGAAAAAATGAAGGTTATATAACATATTTAAGGAATAAATATAAATTATATTTAAGGAATAATCAAAATGATTCCATTTACAATAAAAATACACACAATATTACTGTGCTTCCCAAAACTATGAACCTTTTGTAAATGATAACTTTTCATACCTCAAATAATTTATAAGAAAACATAACTTGTGCACTATAAATCAAAAAGTTTTAAACAACATAGAACAGTAGTTACTGATAATGTAAGTTAGTTATCCAGGCCAGTTAAATACAAATCTTTTTCTCAACTTTAATTAGACTTAAGCTAAATCATTGAATAAAAACTTACATAAAACTCTGAGTTGTGCAGATGAGTATTTTGTTTTCAATTGATTCTTTGCACGACATTGGTACATAGCTGGATCTCTTTCTGGATCTAAATGTTTTATGCTTAGAACATTGTCTTGTATAAAATAACGATCTTTATCTTCAGGGTGCAAAATTTCCATATCCAATAATTCACCGTTTTTAAACCAACTGTAAGTTACATCTGGTATTCCAAATGCTTCACAAGTCCAAGTTAATTCGCCTCTATTATCCATGTGTTTATCCACTAATGGAATGGTGAAATTGGGAGCTGCTTGTATAGTTAGCCTTACAGAATTTTCAATTGCTAATCTATCATTGTGAACTCTACAGATGTATTCTCCTTGATCATCAACATGTACTTTTGGTATTATTAATACTCGATTATAACTGGTTACATGTGCTCCACGTGGTAATGGCGCACCTCTTCTTGTCCAGTTATATGATGGAACAGGACTACATTAATTAAAAAAATATTTATATTTTAATTATGTTGTAACATACTATTTTCCCTAATAATTACATCATTTGGTTCATGGAATGTGAATTCTTTTGCGTCTTTCCGACAAAGGCAAAACACAATGATAAGCGAGTGAGTAGAAATGCAAGCCCGATGTTGCAGCAAGGGTGATGATATCACTGTATGGAGTTTGATAAAGCACGATTCTAAGTAGTAACAATTTCTACTAATGATAAAATATTCGATTGAAGTTAACTAACACTTCTTATTTGAGACAAGGCTAAATGCGTAAATGCACGATAATAGTACAAATAAACCAACGCTACAATATTAGGTACTTATAAAAAATGACTTTCCCTTTTTTTACTTTAGTAGAATTCAAATAAGTTTTACTGTGTCATGTATAAAAAAAATGTATCTCGACCATGTATATATTTATTGCTGGTAAAAAAGTGAATGAACTTACTATCCAAACGCAATACATTCAAGTCTAACTTCCTCTCCAGCAACTGGTGCCTCTGGAAATACTTTTGGAAAATTATTGGGAAATTTTAATTGTTGAAATGAAGCTGAAAAGAAAAAAGAAATAAGAAGGATTAAAGATATGTAAAAATTTAAAATGTATTTTAAAATTAGAAAATGTACTGCATTTTTAAAAATTAATATTACCATGCTTAAATCAATATTAAAAGTTTAAAAAACAGAAAAAAGTAATTACAATGTGAATCAACCCTCAATGGGAAGAATGGTCCATTACGACCAGTATCAGATGCAACACTTTGTACATTACAAGAATAATTTCCACGGTCAATCATTTCCAATGCAGAAAAATAAAGGGCCCCATCATGGGAAACGAAGACACGTTTATCTTCTTCCACAAAGTTAGGGAAATAGTCACGTGCCCAGTAATATTTAACTCCAGGAAAATGTTGTGGTGGATCACAGTACACAGCTTTACCCCAATTTTGATCACCACGCTCTTCTGAGCGTTTTAAATTAAATTCCAATATATAACCAAATGATAGTTCAACACTTTCCGAAATAATAGTACCAAACTTATTTGTGGTTTTGCAATGATATGAACCTCTGTCTACTGTCTAAAACAGTTAATTACTATTCTTAGCATCATTATACTTAACACATAATATTCACAAACATCAAATATAATTACCTGGTCAGGTTCATAAATAATTAATGTACCACCACTCACTGTATATCTAACATTTTGTAGCGGATCTATTTTTGTTGCAATTAATCTATCATTTTCATAATCCTCCTTAAACCATTCATATGTTGGTGCAGGGTAACCACCCGCAAGGCAACTTAAAGAAACATCATTGTTTGTTTTTCTTTTTGTCACATCAAATACTTTATCTACAGGTTGCTTTATAAAATATGGTCCTCTGGGTATTTGGTTAGGGTTATCAATTTCAACACCATATTGATAAGTACGATCATCTTCAACTAAGTTATGCAAAGTAGTGATTGGAGCTTCACAAATGTACAACAACTTTTCTCTAGCTGTTACTTTTTCTAGTCCCCATCGTTGTAAATTATTGTGGTAAGAATATACGAGATAATCTTTACCAATTATATTATCATTGGACTCAGGCAAGAATGCATTATCCATGTTTAGTAACTGAGTGTTATCACCTTCATTCATCCAGTTTCCATTTTGATGTTTAATGCCAGTGTACCATTTACGATGTTGAGGATCTTGCCATAATAATTGATATAATACAAATCCATGTTCTTCCACAGAATTAATTGTAATAAGATCACTCTGATAAGCCTGACAATTTTTTCTAGCCTCGTCCCTTTCTCTAATGGGACTTTTTATAAAACGATAACAAGATTCTTGGAATTTTATCCAATGTTGTGGACATTGATACAATGTTTCTCCATATAATATATTTTGAGTGAATATACCAGTTGAAACAACTAGGATGATTATCAAAACTATTTGTATATGATACATTGTTACATGTATTTCGATATGGTAGATGGATTATTGCAGTACCTATAGAAAAGTAGGTAAAAATTAGTATCCTGTCTTATTATTACCCAAATGAAAACATAAATTATAACAAGCCCAGAATACAATAAATCTAACAACTTAGGCAACTAGTTATTTAAAGTCATACAAAAACAGTATCAATAAATAAAATCTAAAATTGACTCAATATTAAAATTCAAAAAGGGTTAAAACAATGTGCACACATTTTTTTAAAACAAGAATAATACTGATAAGCATTAATAAAGATAAAGATAAATAAAAATAAAAATAAATAATATTGATATGCTTTATTTGAATATCTATACTAATAAATTAAATTACCAGTACAATTATAACATTAATTACTGAAGAAATTCCAGTAAAATTATATAGAAATATGACATTATAAAAAAAATTAAATTATCTTAATATCTTATGTTTTTACACCTTTTTAAATAAAAGCTCTAAGCAAAGGTGAACAAACAATAATTCCACTCAAAAAAGATAGATAATCTTAAAATTTCTGAAATGACTATTCAGATTATTTTGACAATTATTTAAAATATGTTGCAAATATATTTACATATTACAAGCTTATTCAAGTATACTAACATCTTAAAATATAAAATCAAAACTGAAAACAAATTGGTACTTTTGGTAGAAGATTATTGAAGGATGAGTACAAAATGATAGCACAGAAGAAAGTCTTATCCAAATTATTAATAGTACTAATTTCTTTTTACTTTCCATTTGTTGGTATTCCAATAAAATAAACAGAAACATAGGATGATACTAGAGAAAGTTAAACACAGAAAGACAGTTATTATTAAACATATAAATCTTTTGATTTAAAACTTATAACTACTGTAAAGAGAAGTTGCCTGGGTAGTTATAATTTATTGAAAGATGTTAAAAGTAACAATGAAAACAGAAGTATCAGATATGTTATAGGATCATTTGTTTTCGATAGATGAGCAATAAATATTAAATAATACATACAAATCAACTTGAATAATAACTTAGGAATTCAATAATATTGAATAACATGAAAACTAAATAATACTTAATTAGTATAGTTAGTGTACTAAAAAGAAATTCGAATGTAAATCTAAAGATGTTAACTTTAAAACAAAGTAAAATTGCATTTTAAATGTCTAAATACAAAAATGGGTACACTGAGGGACTAAAAGCAGATAAACAGGAAATAGATAAGATACTTAGATTGTTTAAAATCAAATCTAATATGTATATATATTTTTTAGGCACACTACCAAATATAACATTAAAGAAAGCAATTATTTCATTTTTCTATTGAAATCTTACTGATGCTAGACAATTCAAAATTGAAATAGTTATTTATATACATTTAAAGAGAACATGTTTTTCTTCATGCACACATATTAATGATTTCAAACAATAACACATAAACTGTCGTGTAGAAAAAATGCTCTCTGATTCTGTATGTTATGTTAATTTAAAACAAATCACTGTTATAATTCTTTTTTAAGTTTTAAGTATATCTGCAAGTGAAAATACACAGAGAAAGAAATTATGTTTAACTTAGAGCCTTACAAAATTATACGAATAATAAGTGAATATATTCATAGTTTGCTTATGAGTGATTCACTCAATCTAAAATTACAATTGGTTATGACTGATCAACATAAATTATGTTTGATTTTTTATAACTGGTAATGAACATATTTTCTGATATGAGATTCTCTTTATATCTTTTTATATTTAACCTTATCGAACATCTTGTATATCTAATATTTATTCATATTTTTAATGCTGAAATGTAGTATACACATATTTTACATGATCTAGCACTTAAAATTTGTAACAGTATACAAAATTTTTATATTTTTCAACAAGTATATCCTAGAAAATAAATAAGTTTCTAATATAAAATAATCTTGATAAGTAAATATTCATAAATAAGCGATTAAGTGTTTCCAACATACATATGCACCTATTTACATGGAAGAGAGGAGTTAGGGAGTGGCAGTACAGCATTCGAATGTCAAATTTCGTCAAATACATATAGACTTTAAATTGCTCTTAACTATAATTATTAAGAATGAATATTCGTTACCTTTAAATACACTTATTTAATCAAATTTATTTCATATATAAAATTTAGTAAATCAATATTCAACTAATATAAACTTCAGCGTCCTTTTGCTCTTATAACACATGAGGATATGTATGTACATAAGAACATGTGTATGATCCATACTAATTTCACTTCATTCCGAGAACAATATAATTAAACAATAAGATTTTACGTTTTTTAAATACGAAAATTACTTAAACCTAAATTCCAAGGGCGAAAACAATTACACAATACATTGATAAACAAAATTATAGTTTTCCACGCCACTCCAAGTGTCCGAAATTGGGATCTGACGTTCGCCATGTGACACCTGGTGGCGAAAAGAGTAAGCTGTTCAACTTACCCAGTACTCATAGTAATTATATAGTTAATAGGATTGTTAATGTTCTTTATAGTATGAGTTCTAAAGGTTCCACCCCCATATCAGATCCCAATTTGCTGGCCTGAATCATGATGTAAGGGTAAGGCATAGACATATCACCGACTAGGTATAGGATAGACCTATCATCTTATGAGACTTCGTGTCTCATGTTCTGAAATACCGATAGTGTAAAAAGTCAGGGATTTTCTGCTGCCCTCTACGTTATGAGAACGGTGAATTTGTGAACTACGTTAAATCTAAGAAGGGACCATGGTCGTGAACGGATTCTCTTCCGTCCGTTCGCTATAAAGTAGACGTATTAGAAAGGAGTCTTGGGCTCTAATCCCAACGGACCTATATTCGCTTTTCTTCGCGTACAAAAAAGTTATTGCGTTTAATATTGTTTTTATGAATATGTATATGTATTATTATGTACATTTGAGTAAATTATTTTATTATTCCATTGTTATTACAACAGTTTAACA